TGCGTATGAGAGCGTATTGTGGGAGATAGAGTTAATTGGATACGTACAAATAGGGATCAGTGGGGTTCTATCTAGGGCAGGTGGCATGTTTTTGTGCTTTTTTCTTCACTGTCGAGTTACTCAACCCCTTGTCGTCTATATGGAACCCCCCTAATCCACTATCTGGGATGGCGAGTAATTGCGGGTTCTGCCTTTAACACTCATTCGATAGAGCTCTGTTTGCTTCACAAAATTATGCTAGTCTTTTTTTGTACAAAGTGTTTTTCTTTTACTTTTAGGTCCAGAAATGGAATATCCCGGAGGAACAAAAGAACAACTTTCGGCACCTGCTCCTCGCTTCGCTTTTCGTCGAGGCCGGAAAGCTGTCGAGACAGTCCGGGACAATTCCAGGGTTTGGGAGAAGGTGTCATATGCGAGTCTAGAGCTCAAAAATACTTTGCAAACTTCGAAAGTGGTGCTTTTGATGCTGATGACGCCCTGCAGCGGTAGACCCCTTACATTCGGGCAAGGGTGTCTCAAGAAAATTCAAATCACTGGTGATTTCTCAAGACAGATGCCACTGTCAACAAGAAACACCTCGTCGCCCAGCTGCAACGCGTGAAACATGCTATTTGACTGAAAGGATCCCAATGACGAGGCCTAACCATACTCCTTCACGACAATGCCAGAGCACACGCTGCATAAGTCGTCGTAGCCGCACTTGAAGAGCTCGAATGAGGCCCTTCAGCATACGCCGCGCTCTCCGAACCTAGTACCCACGGAATGGCAGGCGTAACCTTTCGCGATAAAGGAGACTTTGGAAATGGCTCATAACTTCTTTGATCGGGCGAATGAAGGAACGGCTCCGAAATATTTGCCGATAGGTGGGAGGAGGGTAGCAGCGAAGGAATAGATTAACTTATAATTGCAGCTACTAATCTTTGCTTAGATAAGAAACCCTGTGGAAAATGCTACAACCTTATTTTCCAATCCAACAAAAGCTCGAGGATTTACACTTCTATCAGGTTGTACGCATCACAGGA